CGGGATTCGGGATCCTCCTTGAAAGCCATGAGATGATGTGGTTCCTTCGCACCAAAAAGGCCTGGAACAGATACATGGTAAATGTCCGCACCAACCTTGATCCCTGCAGAATCCCGGAAAGAAACCCTTAAGCACGAAGGAAGTGCTGAATCATTCGGCCTGGACACGCCAGATGGTTGAGTGGAAGTTTCGATAAATTCGTTGAAACGATCACGTTCTTCATCAGCAAGCAACCTTTGAAAAGATCTCCCTACAAGAGTCACATTGGTCAAAATTAAATGCTTCAAGCCCTCACTTTCCTGGGCCACTTTCATATCACTGTCTAGCAGCACTTCACCATCACAAACCCCGTGCAACATCCGCTGGAAGCTGGATACCAAGGACTCCGCATCCGCAGTTTCCAAAAGTGCACAAATGCGCCCTTTCAACATTGAGTCGATCAAAAGTGAGAAGATTGCAGTGAATGTACTCATGAAGAGTTGCGTCAAGCAGAAGGGTATAACCTCCTTCGTCGACAAATCGAAAGCCCAAAAGCAAGCAAGTATCTCAGCTGCAGTGAAAAGAACTTGGAAAGGAATGGAGATCGAGGGGTCCAAAAATGTAAGAACCAAGGCAACCCGACTGATAGCGTGGAGGCTTTGCAACACTGCAAGCTTCGCACAACTCTCAGCCAAGGCTGCACTCAGAATCATCACAAGCAGCGCAGTATGCATGAGATACCCAAGGTACTTCAGTCGAGAAGGCGTCAATTCTACCAAGTTGTGATTGAAAGCTAGGTGCTGAAAATAATGAAATGTACAAACGATTGCCCAAATGATGTCGTCCGGATCAGGCGCTGCAATCGCTTGGTGCCAGAGTGCGAGGCCTGTTATCAAATCGATGTGAGGGTAGAAACGGCTGAGGCACTGATAGTTCCAGCACCGAAGTTTTTGCATCTCGTCTTCAACAAATTGTTTTTTGGATCCATCCAGTTCGCCCCTCTGACTTGTCACCCACACGACCCATTGTCGCAGGTCTGCCAAATCGGTTTTCGACAAGTACGCATGCACTGGAATCCACACAACGCCGATGGTGGCCACCACAAGAAGAGCATCCATGGCCCCGCTTCAACAACGCAAACAAAAGCAAGTGTCCTTCACTGCAATTGGGGAGCCTGAAGGCTTGGAAGGGCAAAATCGAAGTGCTTGTTGGTTTGTGGACATGACCCCACCCCATCACATCGCTGGGTCTGGCTGGAACTCTCCAGAATTCTGTCCAAGGCAGAAAAGGCAGCACCAAGAGGTTGGAATGTCAGCGTAGACAGACAGTGATATGACCTGAGAGGCCTGCAACAAGCCACAGAAGGATTGATTCTCACAACACAAACCAATGCTGCATCTTCCTTTGAGAGTCCCAATTTCCGTCTGCACCACTTCTTAAGGAGAAGTTGCAAGTACCAACTGGTGCTAGTGCCTTTCTTCCCTCAATGACTCAATGATTCACGGTCCTTCATCACTGTCAACCAAAGTGGTACGACGTTCTGGGCACCCCAAACCAAGGGAGGCGGTTCAACCATGCTGAAGCATTGAGTCAAGACCTTCAGGGGTGAGTAAAGAAACCCTCAAATACACTACAGTACGTCTATTCAATGATAGATGCGCAAAAGAACAGAAACTCAGTGTGATCCACATTGAGGAATTGTGGGGTGCCTAGATTTGATCAGTTTCATGTACCGGGTACCTTTTCATGCACATCAACTTCTTAAGATCTTTGATCCATCAAAACACTGAGCCCAAAGCATGTTCATGGCCAGAGCCCATCATGTCCACCTTTCTGCAAACCAGTTCGGAAAAACACGGAAAGCGGAGCAGCAACATTTTTGTTGGCCAGATCAGGTGTCTGTTTGCAGGTGAAAAAGTACAATAACAGCAAAGCCTTCAACATAATTAGATCCCACGGCCCCAATCTTCAACATACCCCCACGAGAAGCCTCAAGAGAGCCCCAACATTGGGCGAAACGTGCCAACATGGAGAAGGATGTGGCCTAAGAACCAAGATCGCCGAAGGCACAAACGTGCCCCAAATTTGACCACTCACTGGAGCCAGCTTTCATAAGCAACAAAAACGACCAAAAACTCTCAAAACCAACTTTCTTGACACTTGTCGGACCTGATTGATCATGGTTTTTATGGTGTTTTACGCACACTACGCACCTGCCTGAGTCAAACGGCAGAGAAAAAAACAGCCAAGCATGGCCGCAAAACAAGTAACATAACAGCAGCAAAGCCTTCAACATTGCCCTGATCTAGACCCACGGCCCCAATAACTTCAAACATACCTCCACGAAAAGCTTCAAGAGAGCTGTCCCAAGAATGTACCAAGATCGTCAAAGATTGGCACAAACATGTCCCAAATTTGACCGCTCATTGGAGCAAGTTTTCAGAAGCAACGAAAACGGAAAAACAACTGTCAAAACCAACTTTCTTACACTCGTCGGACCTCATTTTTTCATAGTTCCCCACATCACTATGTGGGGTTCTTGCTTGTCGCTCTGTGCCCGCCGTTCCGAAACCTCCAGCCGCCCGCCATCTTACACTTTCACCACCTATCTTACACCACCTATCTCACACCACCCATCTGACACCACTCATCTTACACCACTCATCTTACACCACTCAACTCACACCATCTATCTAACACCACCCATCTTACACTACTCATCTTACACCACTCAACTCACACCACCTATCTTACACTACTCATCCTACACCACTCATCTTACACCACTTTTCTCTTTTATGTTTTGAACTGAAAGATGA